CTGGGGCGAATTGTTGCTGGTTTGCCAAATTTCAAATCGGAATTTGCTATTTTGCCTCCCCACTTTACTGCCGACTTTGACGATGACGTCCGCCTCGCAACTGCAATCCTGTTTCCGGTGTTGGCACGTGAACATGCTCTGGCGAATATACTGTCCTTCACTCTTGCTTCGTTGGTGTATCATTCAGATTTTCCTCCTCGACACTATCCCTCCAAAACACCCACTTATGTCGTGTGCGCTCTTTACGAACCCGGACCTCCTGGCAACGTTGAAACGCAATGTGACGACGACATCTGAGCGATTTTTGCCGACGGGGATACCCCCGCACGTGGATCTATTCAAGGGAATCGAACGTAACCTTGCAGCTATCCAAACGTTGCCAGACTTGATTTCTGACCGTCTGGAAGGAATTTTGGATGAGCACGACGTTGGTTCAGGGAATATCACGCGTCAGTACCTCGAAACGACGCTTTCGAACCTGGTTTCCCAGCTCCATTCCTCGCCGAATGAACGTGTTCTGAGCCCACCGTCAACACCAGGGGGGCAGCTCTACACCTGGGGTGGCCGCTTGTCCAAGCTTCCGGCTGACTTCGAGTTCCCCGCTGTCGATGCGGCCACGGCATGGCGTCTGTGGTGGCGTGGCAATGTGAGGAGTGGCCACCCACCGTACCGGTTCATCGTACCTGCTGATTTGGCGACGACGAAGCAGCGTAAGGCGCTGTCGGACTGGAAGTTCGTGATGGGGCACTTCGAGCGCGTGTCCGTGGGCGCGGGGTTTGCTCTGCCGACTCGTCCTACTGATCTGGAAGTGTCAAACATGTTCGAACCTGTTGCCGGGTTCTTACGCTCCGTGTACAGCTGTGCTACGGGTAAACGCACCCGTCGAATCACTCAGCTTCGACTTGTGTCGCACATTCGAGTGCTGCGGAAACACGCTTCGACGCTCAGTGGGTAAATCGTCAATCAATCGAATGTACCTGTGTATTCTGTCTCAATTTTGACCAATCAGAAACCGCTTGATACCCGTCGTGCACATTCCAAACACAATACAACATGGATGAGACCAGCTTCAGCCCAAACAAGGTGTCAAGGAAGGTGGTTGTGCATCGCAACTCAGCGAAGTGTACGTAGAAGAGGCGTCGGCATCAGCACATGTTACGATTGTGGCATGTGTCTGCGCAGATGTCACCAAAGTTCCACCGCTGTTTGTGCTTCCTGGTTCCCGCGTGACACCTGAAGTCTGTGACAACCTGAGCATCCCTGGCGCAGCCGTT